GATTGGTGCAAGACTGATATAATTAAAACAAAGAAAAAAAAAAAGGTCTTCATGGACATTCTATCCTTTCCACATGAATATTTATAAACCCAAGTCACAAATACCATTTATACCTGGCGAAAAAATCGGTGTGAGATCAAGTTTTTATTTGGATCCAGCCAATCAATTACTGGGTCGGCATATTCAGGCATAGAGGCTGTGAAAATAACCACCTTGTACCATTCACTAACCTAATAATTTACACTTATCAATTTTTTATTATTTAACGCTTATGCATAACATATTAGCTTTCCTACCTTTTTTAAAAAGTGATCCACATGTGGTCTTTTGTGGACATAATATAGACAAGCGTGATTATCCACCATAACTTCAATCATATGTGCATCAGCCCGTGATCCCCTTGAGGTTGAATGTATCAGCGTTTCGTCTAAATCCAAGATAAGTGTTTTTGTTTTCATCAACGAAGAAAATAATGATGAAGATGTCAATGAGGTTTGGTTAACTTGTTTTATATTTCTTCTAAATCGGAGTTCCGGATTATTTCTTTGAGGGGAAATGCTATCAGCTGAAGATGAAGCAATCTGCTGTTGCAACTGCTTTTTTGGTTTAAGGCGCGGAGAACGACGTAGTGGTGGTGGTTGTGAATTGTTATTATTTGTGTTGTTATTCGCGTCCGGTGAATGTGCTGCTTGTGTTAAATATGCATGCTCGACAGTGGAACGCCTACGCAGCCGTGCAGTTGCTTTACTGAAAATATTTGATATATAAGTGTACAATATTGTCCAGTAATATATTATAAAATAGGAAGGTGTCGTTGAGGACGACGTGGTGAGACATTCTGATAAATTATTCTTGCTATTGACGCTGCTGTCGCCAATTACTGTTGCATTCGATGACGACGCCGATGTCGTAGTGGTTGAGGGCGTTGAGAAACTCTCTTGAGAAACAAGAGATGAAGACGAAGTGGGTGCTAGCATGCTAGCATTGGCTATTTAAAATCGTAAGTATTGGCCGTGTTATATCGAGAAAAATGTGAAGATCGCTTTATACAGTATAAACTTATTTTACACAATGCTATTACTTATATTCTACGTCAAGATATAGTGTAATATAAAATGCAAGAACATACATACAATAATCCCTTTATATCGGCAAACTATTGCGAGAAGACGAAAGAACTAAATGAATGAGTTGAATGCTGTATCGGCTATTATAAATTCGGGTCAGTTGACTTGGACGATGTATACATATTTGTCCAAGCCACTAACAAAACTTTTAATTTAATATCATGTGACTAATTAACAAATGCGGTTTCGAAAATTTTTAGAACTCATCTATACAAAAATATAAATGCATATACGATTGTTTCTTCTCTCTAAATGCATATCCTTATCTGGTCAAACATAAGAAAAATTTTATGTATTAAGTCATAAAAAAGTTAATTTGTTTTTATTAATTTTAAAAATGGATCACAATCTCAGTTTACTACAGTATATATAAAAATTTTCAATAATTATAAAATGCACCATAGGTGTTGTTGGAGTTAATATGTTTTTGGCTAAAATTTAGGGTTAGGGTGCAACTTTAGAGCAAGATAGAGGTTAGATATAAAGGTCCAAATTTTAGTTAGCATAAGGTTTTTGGGGGCGCTGAACATTTTTACTTAATACCCCAGAGATGTGTTAGCTAGTACGTTTTTGAGATATGGCAACTATGGTGTTCAATACCTATGGTACATTTTAGTAAACCCGAAAATTTTTTATAAATTATATATATTTTTTAGATTTGTAAAAAAAAAAAAAAAAAAAAACTCATTCAGATTATAATAACCAGAAAAAATTTTTTTAAAAAGAACAGTTGTTAGGTTTAAAATTTTTATTACCGTGTAGATGTTAAGAATTTATTTATTTATTTTTTTTTTTTGAATATTAATAGTAAGACCATGTTTCTGACTTAAGAATTTATTTATTATAAACTTAAAATATTTAAGTATTAATAAATTTAGGTTTCCTCTAACCTACTCTAGCTAATCAATTAATTTGAAATAATTAATAATTATATTATATAGAAAACTAGAGGGTATAATGTTACATTGGGTGCCTGTTATAGCAGCACGAATGTAGTTTTTAAAATCTTTAAATGTAGAATTTCTTTTCTAAATAAAAACAAAACAAAAAACAAAGTATTAATAAATAGTAATTAAGATTAGTTTAAAATTAGAAAAATTAAAAATATTAAATATATAGGTTAGATACTACAAAAAAATTTTTTTTTTTAGTTTAGTATAAATATAGATATTGAATAATAATTTATATTTTTTTTTAATCTTCATAGATGATAATTTGCATATTTATATACTGTAATATATAATTTTTATTAGTTTTGTTTAATAATAAATAAAATTAATTTTAAAATTTAAAAAAAGGTTGTTTATATTAATTATAATAAAACTCTGAAATATATATAGAAAAATTAGATTTTAGTTTGCTTATTTTTGATCTTTTTGTAAAGATCTTTTCTATTTATAGAGGTCATCTAAAGCTATATACTGTATATTTCCGAATATAAGCAACCAAATTTTACAAATTTTTTAAGTCAAAAGTGAAGGTGTTGTTTATATTCAGTGATAATTTTATTAGTAAAATATAATAATTTTTGCTAAATTTTTAGCTTCAAAATCTGGAGGTTGTTTTTATTCAAAAGTTGCTTTTATTCAGAAATATATGATATCTATATAACCTTTTTGTATAAATTAACTAACTAGAATTATGAAATTTTGTTTATACAGATCAATTCAAAAAGTTAAAAAATAAAAAAATATAAAAAGATAAAAAATAATAGTATTGTTAAATCACACCACTAGTATCAACACCACTATACTTTATAATTTAAAATTTTATCTATAAAACTACCTCTAGGGCTTTAACAAAAAAATTTTTTGTAAAATTTTGATATAAATTATGCTTCTGTTCTATCCCAAGCCTACAGTGCTAGACAAAAAAATCTTGCATCTATATCTGTTTACAGAGAGGTGCTATAGTCTTAAAACTTTCTAAAAATTTAGTAAATAGTTAGCCTAGATTGTATATTTTTTTTTATAATTTTTCAATCACTAGAAAAAATTTTAAATGAGAACTAAAGTTTTGAATAATTTTTTATAAAAAATTAAAAAATTAATTGGGTTCAATTAAAAATTAATAAAAAATTAAGATTATATTTAAAAATTCATTATATTAAAATTTAATGATTTTTATACTAATAACAAAAAATTTAACTTAATTTGATAAGACAGTTATTAAGAAATTAATTTTTAAAGTTTAAATTTTATTGTTATCTTATTCTGTTTTAAAAAATTTAGCACAAACAGGTTTTTATTAATTTTACTATGTAATTTACAATAAATTATATTGTAAAATTAATAAAAACCTGTTTGTACCAAATTTTTTTGAACAGAATAAAATAACAATAAAATTTAAACTTTAAAAATTAATTTCTTAATAACTGTCTCATCAAATTAAGTCAAATTTTTTGTTATTAGTATAAAAATCATTAAATTTTAATATACTGAATTTTTAAATATGATCTTAATTTTTTATTAATTTTTAATTGAACCCAATTAATTTTTTAATTTTTTATAAAAAAAATTGTTTAAAACTTTAGCTCCCATTTAAAATTTTTTTTAGTAATTGAAAAATTAACAAAAAAAATACACAATCTAGACTAACTATTTACTAAATTTTTAAAAAGTTTCAAGGCTATAGCACCTCTTTGTAAGCAGATATAGATCAGAGTTTTTTTGTCTAGCACTATAAATCCTAACCCTAATATAAAATTTAATTTTCGTTTTAATAAAAATTATTTTGATCTATATATTACATAATTTTTATATATGTAATGTTAAATACCACTAGTGTGATATAATTTTTGAAAAATAAATCTATATTTATTTTGAGATACTAATTAAAAATATTAAAAAAGTAAATTTATTTATACTTTTCTTCTTATATTATAGAGTTCTGTATTTGATTTGATTTGATTTAATTTGATTCAAATATTTGGTTTCAAATCAAATTCAAATATCGATTTTCAAATCAAATCAAATTTAAATTGAAAGATTAAATATTTGATTTGATTTGAAATTATTTATAAATAATTAAAATTTGAAGAGTTATAATTTCAGTGACTATTTTCTCAAAATTTTATTAAAATAATTGCTAATTTAGTTTTATAAAACTAGAACTATTTAGAGGTGTGGCGACTTAGTGAAGTGGTCAAGTTGTCACCCCCAAGTAGCAGGTCTAGAGTTCAATTCCTACCGGCGATGATTATTGAATATCAAAAACTTGTATATCTCTGATATGTTAATTTAATTGGGTATGCTGGGTATAATAGACACTGTAATCTATGGTTATACCAATGATGATTGGAAGTACAAAGAAATTTGTACGTATAATATGACCCATGGGGCACCAATTAGGAAGAACCACTTGCAAATCCTGAGTATAGCATTCATCTGATGTGATGATAGGACTGATGAAAGAATACAAACCGTATGATCGGTACAACATACAATAAGACCATATAAGGGTAATCTCCTATATATATAGAGTTGGACTATTGTATAGTCACACTAATCAAATACAAATACATGTACACAAACACAAAAATAAACACTATATAAACAATTAAAGTTCTTTTGTAAAACATTAATGCAGCTGCCACCTTACTAAAAGATACATCCGTTGTAGTTAGTAAGGGGAATGAGGTATGGAGGCGGGTGGTATAGCCTCTATACGTGGAGGACCAAGTTATTAGTCAGACTCAACGTACAGAGCAGATTTTGGATACCTGCGTAGCTGTGAGAACTGAGCTTAAAATGGCGAGCAACCCTACAGAAGAAATATAATCATCCAAACCATTATCAACATCTTTAGACTCCTATGATTTGGATATTTGCTATAACAAATACTTTCTTCATTATAAACTCTCTCTCCTAAATAGACCCCAAACTATTCAGTCCTTTTATTTTCACCTAGATATCCATACCCCACATCTTAAAAAATATACTGTTATTTCACTAACTAAAGATAGAAAAGAAGCACATATTTACTTAC